CAGGGGGTGGGGAGTGAGGACGGAGGGTGGGGGGGGAACTGGGTGGAGGGGAGTTATGGTGGGAAAAAAGAGGAACCAATGTAATAATCTGAACAATAAAGATTTAATTTAAAAAAAAAACACAACAAAAGAGGACATAAAAAAAAATGACTTCCATTCTCATGGTACTTTTATAAGAGGATTTAATTTAAAAAATACATTGAGACGTTTCCTGTGGAAAAAGAATAAGATAATGGCTGCAGCTTTGAAAAGAAAATTTTTTACTATAGTGGTTTGGTTGCAACTGTACAAGAAACATGATATTGTGTATTTATAAAGTCTATCATTTGATGATTCCAGAGCCCTTATTTAGCTCCATCCAGAGTAACCAGCACTATTAATCCCATTTAGATGTTTTCCTCCTCATATAGCTGTGTCCCTCACTATCAATAGCTTCATAGAGGTCCTTTTTATTCTCTTGTGTTGCATGTAGATAACCGATATAAGCCACGCACAGCGAAAGGGTTATCAATCCGAAAGCCATTACCGGTTTGTTCTGTCAAAGAAAAAAATTACAAAGCCTCGTTAAGACTAAGGATTTGAGGAGACCCAAATATCTGTTGCATTTTCCTCTTGACAAAACAAGTCTTTATTACCACACTAGCATTCCTATGATATTCTGAATCAGAATAACTTTTCTAGTTCTTTATTCAATTAACCCAACTCCTGATAATTTAGAGATTGTAGAAGACTGTTGCTTCTCTTCTCCAGTCTTTCTTCTGTCTGTAGCCGGGACATCTCAGACCTCCACCTCCAGGAGGGTGATGTCCGGGCAAGGGGCAGAGGAGACAGGAGGCATGGAAATGGCCCGGTGCTCAGGTTCTCAGTGCTATCTGTGTGACATGGAGAAGCTGCTTAACTTCATTTTATGAGGAAGTGAGGGATGAAGTATACATGCTACTCTTCTCTCCTGAGTTCATCAACAACTGGCAAAAAGCCTTTTATGTCATACGTCAGGTACAGCAAAAATGGCCATGTGTATGCTCTCCTCTCGGAACCTATTCTAGCACCTCAGAAATTTAGTCACTGGAACAGATAGGATGCTGTTATAATGACCTTGATCTTCTACTGGGAAATCCGAGACCCTAAGAGGCAAATCAACTAGCTTTGAATTTTTAACAAGTTTTTAAATGTAGGGAAGATGTTCACATCTCCATAGAAGTGTTTATCTTTATCACTCAACTCAGGTGCTCCCATTTGTGTTCAATAATTGGGCCTTTCCTAGGTCAATGTGAGGGCAGAGTTGCTACACAAGTTTCAGTTTGTATTGTTCCTGTCACCATACCTGCTGTTTATACTATTTCAAATCTTAATCCAAAGAATAAAGGTCAAACTTTTTCACTTGGATAGACATCTAAGAAAGGCCACAAACTCAGAGTAGTTTATATCTGCAATTCTTAAAATGCATTTGACAATTAAAAAACACATTAGTTTAAAGTTTTTAAAACATTCTACCTTGATTTAATGATTTGATTGTTAAATTGATCTATTTTACTGTCAGTTTAAACTGGCAACTATGTTATTAAAATTCCAATGATTAAAATTCTAATCATATTCAATACATTTCAATATTCTATAATAATAAAAGCATAGTAATATGCTAATTAGATCAGATGTCCTTCCAGATGAAGCCGGGGCTGCAAGGGAAGCCTGGGTCTCAGGTGCCAGAGGGAAGCCGGTGCCGGCAGCCAGGGGAAGGAAGGCCTACTCTTGCACACATTTCGTGAATCGGGTCTCTAGTATTTTATAATAATTTAAGTTACATTTATTTAAAGATAAAATTTATAGCTCTAGCTGGATGGCTCAGTTGGTTGGAGAGTGTCCCATACACCAAAAGGTTTTGGGTTCAATCCCCAGTCAGGGGCACATGGGAGGCAACCAATCGATGTTTCTCTCTCACATCCATGTTTCTCTCTCCTCTTCCTCTCGCTCTAATTGGGCAT